CACACAAACACACACACACACACACACACACACACATACGCACACACACTCATACACACTCTTACACAGACACCCACATATACACACATACACACACAAACACACACACATACACACACATACACACCTACAAACACACACACACGCACATACACATACACAAACACACACACAAACACAAACACACACACAAACACACACACAAACACACACATGAATAAACAAACAAAACAAACACCAAACAAAGCTGTACTCACCACCACAGGCCTATGATATCCGCTGGAAACATAAGGACAAAATATAGGCAGGTTACTATCCCTTGGACTTGCATCTCGATTTCAGCAGAAAAAGGGGGAAAAGTAGATTGTTCCGTGTTATTTTTAACCACTTTCCACTATCACCGTCTTTTCCCTTTGATGTTGCCGCCGGGTGAACCTGTCGCTACCCTGTAAATATCCTTTGAAGTTCGCCGCTACCACTTTTCTCGCTGCTTCTACCGTTTTCCTTCTCTCCCTCTCTCTCTTTCCCCCTCCCTCTCCCTCTCTCTCTCCTTCCTTCCTCCTGTCTCGCAGGCTCTGTCGTTAATTTATTACCGAGTGTTGAACGTTTGACGTAAATTGTAGATAATTAGCTATCACCTCATCTGAATCTGGGTACAACCAGGATAGGGAAATGTAAATCCACTACATCACATGTGAGGGACTCGCCTCTCTCTCTCTCTCCCTCTCTCTCTCTCAGTCACGGGCTTGGAGTATCACCGACGAGGTACCTTTATTCTACCCACGGTTAATCCAAGCTCATACCACAAACTAACACTTCACTCTACAACTAACTATCTTCACAATCAACTGGCCTGGACGTAAGTTTTTTTCTCCTATTTATTTCCGTGAGCCGGGGAAGAAATCTGTGTGTTTTCAAAAACAGTGTCTGGATAGGATACAATATACTCTCCTCTTGTACATGGGTGTGTCTCAACATGTGGTTTTGGACTTCCAAATCAATGTAGGCTCGAGATCGTGCAAAAAGGCATACACACATATATAACTTCAGTGTTTGTGAACGTACTCCGTGTCCAGATTTCTCCGAATGTCGGGGCTCGAGGAGAGAAGATTTCTGAACGTATCAGGTCTGTGCATATTTCTATTTTATATAATCTTGTTGTCACTTCCCGAGTGTGTGGAAATTATTTTGGCATTCACACCTAATTTCATCCCTGGCAGCGGTTTTTACCTATCTCTTTCCGATTTCGTTCAGACAAATTTTTATAAAATTCATGTTTTTTTAACCCCCAACGAGAATGAAGTAGTAAAGGAAAACACGCAAGGTGAAGATTTGATGCATCAACTGTTCTGACTCGCCCGCACTCCTTTGTCCTTGGCGATGGTAATCTCTTAATCCTTCTGTCTCCTGTCTTGCTTCCTACAAACTGCAGTCACGAACTGCCATTGTCAATAAATATGTTCGTTAAGCGGTCCGTTTAGTCGCCGTCTAACTCCGCATTTGTGACGCCACGTGTCCCCTGAAAAGGTAAAATTGACGAATACGTTGGCATCCACATTGAGCACATTAATATATCCACATCGGTATCCATCATCCAAGACGTGGGAAGAATTCCGTGAAGGAAAGCTGGGGGCAGCCATCCATGAATCTTTTCACACCAGAAAGAACTAGAATCGTTTTAGTTTGCATGGAGAAAGAAGGATAATTAGGTGGGTGTTTTTACAATCGAGGTTGTTGGGAGGCTCAGTTTAAACCTTTTGAAATTAATATGTCGTAAAAATAAAGTCCTGCACCCAGGCTTTTTCACGGGGATCCTGTAGGTGTAATAACTTTTTGGGTAACACTACAACGTGTTTGACAGGTTATATTTGTCTTTGAAAGATATTCTAGGATTTAAAATGGAGGGACATTTGAAATAATGCAACACATAAAAAGAGATCCTTCCAGCACACTAGTTTTGTAGGCCCTAACTTCCGGAAGACCTTCACGCAGAGACTGATGAATGTACTGGTGACCCCTACGTCCTTTGAATGTTCCAACCCGGAGAAACTTGAGGACAACTCTGAGAGAAGTTCAATGGAATAAAACAAAAGCCAGCGACGTTCTTATATCCGTACAACTTTCTTGGAAAATGTCCGGATACAATCAGATGACTCTGGTTTTCCTCGGGATTGTTCCTGTGAGTGGCCGTAATTGCCCGAGTGTGGTCAGTTTATGGGGTCCCGTCTGGAGGGTAGAGGTGTTTCAACATGGAGGGTCAAGCGAGGGCGGCGTGGCTGGCCCGGAGTTCCCTGAAAGACAGACACAAACGAAACACGTGTCATGTGATTGTGGTCAAGGTTAGTGGCGGCTGGTTAAAGGTAGGCCGTACGAGGACTGCTCAGTTTGTCACATGTCCAGTTTGTCATAATTACAGCACTTTAACAGTAGTTGTAACTTATGTTTTTTTATTTTCCACCTTCAAATTGGTGGTGTAGAGATAGTCCCTCTAAAATGTCAATTTAGCTTGTGTTGGTCATTTTTGTTTTCTTTTTGTATGCAAATATAAGCAAATTACTCTGTAAAATTTCAACAATGAATGTTCTTTCGTTAAAAACAATTGAAAAGTAAAATTGAATTCTTACAATCAAGCAATCATTCATTTACTCTTTTTGAGAGTGTCAGTGATAGCTTCCATCATGCAGGCACAGCCGAAGCGGGGTCGTGGGCCTGTGACAAACTGGGCCTGTGGCAAACTGGCATGCTTCCGGCTGTACAGCTCTCCTCATTGTAAAAGTCGTGAGAGAGTTTTCCTAAATGGAAAGGCGTTGGTAGCCTCGTGGTTATGCTATGGTACACGTAATGGTGAGAATGTATGTTCGGGAGTTCGAGGCAATCATGCCAAGTCCGACTCTGAGGTACTTAGGAAAGGCACTTTGCAGGAATTTGTTTTGTCATATATATCATGATGGACGTATCTATGGTCTAACCTTACAGCTTTGAAAGCGGTATTAAACATAATAATATGCAATGTCGCATTCTTTTTTCTTTTTATTTATTTATTCATTTATTATCTATCTATT